TCGCGGCTGCATGCATGCACGCTACTACCTGCTGGGATGAACGGGCCTGGGGAGCGGGAACAAATTCATTCAAGCGGAAACGTCACGGTACTGTAGCAATGGCTGGCTGCATGCACGCCGCGACTTCAGGAAGTACTGGTGGTTTAATTAAAAAACCGCCAGGTGTTCCCGAGCCTATTTTTCACAGTTTTTTCCCAAGGCTGCCGGATCAAATTTCAATCGATTTTTTGCATAGAAGAATTATTGCATAACAAAATTATCTATTGCGTGCTAAAAAGTTATCATACAAAGTGAAAGACCATCACCTGAATAGGCAAGAAGTAAAAGCACCGTGAGGTGTGAAGCTTACTCGTACTAATTACGATTCCGACTATCTGGGATAATGGGGATAAATACAAATATCGGATTATGGATTTAGTGAAATATGTAAACTCATTGCCGTGTCAGACGAGTAATCTCTGACCTTATTACTTCACTATATGTGGGAAAGTCCTGTGGCTCGCAAACCAAGCCAAAAAGAGGACGGTACTGGTTGGATGAAAAAAATGGTGCCAACCAGTACCATACTACCATCTGTCCGCCCTGCTGGAGGCCTCTCAAGGTTGTCCATCAGGTCGATTTGGCGGACAAGAAGCTTTTGTACGGAGGGGCTGGTGGGTTGTTAGTATGCTTCTGTCAATCTTTTGCGTACAACAATTTTTTTGCTCTTTTTTGTCTCCAGCGTGGTGGACAACCCCTTTTTTGTCGCTCTTTTTTTCCTCCGACTTTTTTCTGTGTCTTCATAAGAAATGTGTTGTTCCATTTTGTCCGCCGATTCCTTCCACTGTGGTATTGCATTGGTTTCTTCACAGCTGGCTAAGTGCAGATCTCACTGGCAAGGGCGATTGGAATAAGTGTCTGAATCTGGACGTGTTCCATGCAGAGATGCAGAAAAGCGGATCAATCACAGTTTTCTGCAACTCGCCAAAACAAGTCCAGTGGTGTCTTTTTAAATGGAAAGATTGTAAAGATGTATTCAAGGGACGCTGGACCCGGTTTCCAGCAGGTGATGCTCCCCACCAATAGATGGAGCTGTTTTTTTGTTAAAAAAAAAAGAAAAAAAAAGGCCAGATTTAGACACTCGTTCCAATCCTCTTTGCCAGTGGGATCTGGCCCTACGTACAGATGTCACTTCTCCGGCACGGCTGAGCTTCTGCCACCTTATCGACCAAACACCATCCAATCTTGACGTTCCGTCTTTTTTTTTTTTTTTTTTTTTTTACGTTCCGTCTTCTGCCCAACACCCATTCCTTTTTTTTTTCCGGAAAGCATAGCACCTTTTATTATTGGGAAAAAAAAAACACTTTTGAGGTCGGGGACCTCACAATTCTATCCAGCGCTACATCCCACTCGCACCGTCGAGCCAGCTCAACGGGAGTCAACGGTGAGCTTTCAATCAGCTGCCACAGGGAGCAACACGGGGGATCCTTGGAGACTCTGACAATCGGTTGGTGCACGTTTCGGGGCGTTGTTCGGTAACCGAAAACAGGGGGGTGGGGGGATGGTGGTGGGGGGGGGGGGGGGGGGGGGGGGGGGGGGGGGGGGGAGGTCTTTTCTTCAGAAAAGGCATTTCCTGAATAAGAAATCATGTTAATCGACAAAAAGATTGGCATTCTTTCCCTTCGGCCCATTGAGCTAGCTGCCCCACTCAGCGTGGGGCAGCTAGCTCAACACGTCCGGCGAAGCACAATTTCTGCAACAAAAGGGATGCACATCAGGCGCCGTCATGAATGTCTGACATCACACTATCCGTGATCTTCGTTACGTTGGGCTCCCTGTCTGAAAATATGAAGCTTTAAATGCGGGAACATTTGGGGGCCTCTGGTTGTAAAATCCCTCCTTCTCCATGATGACACAGGAACGACATCGCCCTCTCTCCAGTCGAATGTGCCTAGATTCCCCTACAACCTTGCCAGAGGTACCGACAACCAGGCGGAATAGTCTAGTTTTTTTTTCGTTGTTGCCTCCACAAAAACAAGGTAAAGTGGAATAAAACAATTGTTTTCGACGACTTTTCGCTATTTCCGGAGTTTCCACAAACACTTTTGGCTGTCACACCATTTAGGTAGTGGGACGTGGCCCCTGGAGAGCTGGGGCCATTACCCAGTCTCGGCTTAAGATGGAAAACGAGGTCTTCCTCTGTCTCTCTCTTGGTATATTCTTCTGCCCCTTTCCCCTCCTAATTTGATATGAGCATCCTTCATAAGTGGCGTCTTACCCATTCAAGCTGGATGCGCTGTATTGGTGGGGAATTGTACCTGCTGGAAACCGGGCACAGTGTCCCTTTGCACAGAGCTTGGGTACAGGCAGCAGTGATTGCCCTGTGAATTGAGGGCATTAACCATCCACCATGATCCACGTAATAAGTAACCCATGACTAAAAGGGTGCACCCTTTTCCGAGCTGCCAGGGGGTGCGTTTTGAGTCTTGACTTTCAACATTGACACTCTGTCTTTTGAAGCAAATGAGCAAAACCATATCCTTCTTAAACCACCAGTATTTTGCCCAGCTATCCGCCGCCGAAAAAAATAGAGTAGAAACGTTTCTAGTCGGATGAATTTGGGCGCTCCTGTAGTAGCCCGTATGTTTCCTAAAAAAAATACTGGTGGTTTACTTGTGGTTTAAACCACCAGTGCTTAAACCACCAGTACTTCGAAGTCTCATTTTCCCAACGGTGATTTCTCCTGCGCACCGAGAATGCCGAACCATCGAGGGTGAGACATGGAAACGTTCTGGCTGGCGGCTCTAGCGTTTTCTGTTCGGGATGCCAGGTCCCAAACATGGTGCGTTAAAGCACCAGTACATGGGTGCCTGGGCCGCAGGCCTAACACCTCAAATTCTGGAGGCACGAAACAAAAACGCGACTGCCGATCTAATTTATCAATGGCGCGGCGTTTGACGTTTCGGCCTCGTTTTCTTGTGGCGACAAGTTTCGGACTGCAACGCTGGGGCCATGTACTTGTGGTTTAAAAACAAAATAGCTGGGAGATGTACCAGTAGTTTTGGATTGAAGGTTCCTGCCTTGACCCAGCCCAAAGCCCAGCAGCAGAAAGGGTTAGCTGTACGGCTGGCCCCATTCTTTAAGTCCCTCTCCTCAGGGTATGGCCCCTCCTCTTGGCTGGCCTCATCTTATTTGCGGGGGTAAACTGTGGCTGTGACACACTTTTAGTTTGAACTTTGAAATAGGCAAGAAAAGACAAAGTGGCACCGGTGTCATGGTGTGAGTTTCGGAATGTGCAAGTTGTTTAGAGGGGGTCTCGACTGCACCAGTCAATACCCGCAGTGGCGCTTGGCAGATTTTTTAGGGTCTCCTTTTTTGCTCCATTAAATTTTCAGGAACTGCTAAAGTTGCCTATTCTGAATGTTGGGTGTGACTCCAACGTGGCCCTTTTTTCTCTCTTTTTTTTTCTTTTTTCTTTTGTGTGTGTGTGTGTGTGTGGGGGGGGGGGGGGGGGGAGAGGAGGGAAACCCCACCTTGGGGATACTATGGGGAGTGGTATGAGCACCTCCGCATACTAACATGGACGGGGGTGCTCCAGTCTTGGCTGGCCTCATCTGTCTGTAATCCTATTCGCAATCTGTTACAGCACCTATTGACAGTGAACCATTCAGGCTGTGAGGAGGGGGCACTCTGCTTGCCAGTGCTTCGCCAGTTATAGGGAGTATTAGGAGGGAGGGCATAGCAGGGTGATACGGGCGGGGAGTCCTGGGGGAAAGCGAGAGTTGTATCAGTACTATCAGGGTAAGGTGAGGACAGTGAGAGAGAGCAGTAAGGAGCGGGCACATTCATGATCCACTCCTAGACCTGTCTCCCTGCCCCTTGCCTTCTCCTTTGTGAAAGCGCTGTTCAGGCTTAGCAAACATGTTACAACAAGATCGTTCATCGCCCCAGCTGTCATGACTGCAGGTTACCATAGTCATGGGGTTTTCATAGGCATGATCATGATATGAGCATTTGTGGATATATTTCATTGACAATGGTGAGGGAAAAAGAAAGAAAAAGACATGATCGGTTTTATCAGTCCTGCACCTAACAATGCCCATCAGTATTGCATGCATTTGATCATGCAAGCCTCGACTTTGGATACATGTAATTGAGAGCAGAGAGATCAATGGTTGTCTGCCTCAAAATCTCTCTCTCTCTCTCTC